AAGGAAAAAGCTAAAGCTGAACTGAAGACATTGGCAAAAGTAAAGTACCAGGAATTAATAGAATACCAATTAATGTTTTGACTACCTGATACAGCCTTGGACATGCTTACAGTCTGTGCCAAGAAATTTAGGGGACTGTTATATGGACAACTAACTGGAAGATATCTATATTTGTTCTCATTCCCAAGGAAGGTGACAGAATATGGAAGTTATAGAACAATATCATTACTATCACACACAAGTAAAATATTGCTGCATATCATACAAAAATATCTATAAAACTACATTAAAAAAACTAAGAAGTTGTCTGAACAACTTCTTAGGGAAGGGAACACTGAGTATTTGAAACTCAAGAAAAAAGTGCATCAGGGATGTATCCTTACTGTTCTGTATCTTGAACAAGTACTTTGAGAAACTGGACTCTATGAGGGGAAAAGTGGCATTAGAATTGGAAGAATCATCAACTTGCTGCAGAAGATCAATGAATAAGGCTTTCAATATGGATTACTTCTCATCATCAAGAAAACAAAAATCTTCACCACTAGATCTATAAGGCAACATCATGATAGATGGAGAACTGCTTGAAATTGTCAACAATTTCATATTACATGGATCTGCAATCAACACTCTTGGTACCAGCAGTCAAGAAATCAAAAGACATTTCATTGGTAAAACCTCTCCAAAGTTCTGAGGAACAATGAGGTCAGTTTGAAGACTAAGGTGGACTTGACTCAACGCATGATATTTTTAATCACTTGCATCTGATGCCTTTGAGTTTGTTAGTTGCTTTTAGTTGTGCAGTAACTATTCCATGGACTGCAAAAATAAACTGAAATTTCTTGGAGAAGGTGCAGTCGAGTGCTTCTTAGAGGGAAGGATAGTGACGCTTCATCTCACATACTTTGGGGCATGTTGTTAGAAGAGGTTATTCCATGAAAGGGACAATTATGCTAATAAAGATGGAAGGTCAGCCTAAAAAAGGAAGATCCTCATCAAGAGAAATTGACACAGTGACTACAGCAATGGGGTCAAGTATATTAGACATGATGGGTATGATATAGGATAGGGCTAGCTTCAGATCTGTTGTTCATAAAGCTACTATGAGTTATACTCAACTTGAAGGCAACAATGCAGGTCAGATAACAAAGTGGAAGAGAAAGAAGACATACTCATAGAAGGGCATGGTCAGACTTGAGACTCCACTGTCAGTGGAGAAGCAGAAACTCTGTTATTGCTCTGTGATCATGTGCCTGGAAGGTCTGGTCTGCAGACCAGCTTGATGACCCTGTGTGCTCACTGTGAGGCCCTAATTGCACCACCATCCCCCGCCTGTGTTGGGAGTAATATGTTAGGAAAATCAATCCATTTGTAGGGGAGAAACCAGACTGGCTTCCTGCTACTGCTCATATTTTCACTAAAACCTCATTTTACTGGAACCAACATTGGAAAAAAAGTACATTTTATTCAAAACAAGGCAATATTGGTATTGACAGAGCTGCAGTGATAATGAGGGCGATCAATTTGTCCTCCTCCATTATGGGGTATTGAGTAGATTTTGGAGTAAACTTGTGGCATCATTAGACAAGATCAGCATTTCTCCCCTTGTCAACTTTTTCTTTCTCCCCCTTCCCCATTTTAATATTACATTGTAAGTATCCATGTTTTAGTGATAAGAAAACCAAACCAAAATTCCCAAAAGTAATAAGTGAAATTCTGGTAATAAAAGCTGGAAATTGTGAAAACTTTTTCTTAGTTTTTACTAAATATACATTGTGGCATTATATTTGCATCTAGCTTCATACACACTGTCTCTCCAGATTTAATCACAGATTAAAAGTATATAGTTACCAACTAAATAAATCTAATATCTGGGATAGGGAAATTTACAGTAAAGAGGATGAACATACATTTTCTGCTTTGAGGAGAGTGAAGAAGAAAAAAAAAAGGTTTTGGCAGAATACAGGGAAGGGCACTAAAACTTCCCAAAGAAAAGTAGGAAAGAAGTTAGGATAGATACATGGAAGAACTTCTCAAAGTAAAAGTCACATAATTATTTCAACAACTCAATTTATTGATGTCAAGTTGGAACCAACTCATAGGTGACTCTCCAGTGGGATTTCTGAGGCTACAAATATCACAGGATGAAATCGTCCATTTTTCTTCCTTGGAACAACAAATAGATCTGAAGTTCTCTCGTTGGCATGGCAACACGACTGTCTACCCACCCATAACTTATTTTGGATTCTAGTCCTTGGTCAGGTTTGCATGCCCATTTTCTGACTCTCACTGCTCCTACAGTTAATTACATTTATAGGAATGGAAGTCATCTCCTTCTGAGGAACAAAAGCCCTCCCCTTGGTGTCAGGTGGTCAGATTAACAGTAATGCGGGTAAAATGGTGGCATATTAAAATATTTAAAAAAAAATTCTGCCTGATAGTAGGTGCTCCTCAAGGAGGAAGTTCTGGCTGCCCAGAAGGACTTGGAAGAAATAAAGCCCCAGGAATTGATGAAATACCAAATGACATATTTCAACAAACAGAGGCTGCACTGGATGTGCTCACCAGGTTGTGTCAAGAAATCTGGAGGACAACTACCGGGCCAACTGACTGGAGTTCATTCTCATTTCAAAGAAAGGTGACCCAACAGAGTGTGGAAATTATTGAACAGTATCACTACTATCACATGCTATCAAAATCCTGCTGAAAATTATCCAGAAAAGACTGGAATAGTACATTGACAGAGAACTACCAGAAATACAAGCTAGGTTTACAAAAGGTTTTGGCACTAGAGACATTGTTGTCAATGTCAGATGAATCTTGGCAGAAAGCAAAGAGTTCCAGAGGGATACCAATCTCTGTTTCATTGACTATGCAAAGGTGTTTGCCTGTGTAAATCACAACAAATTGTGGTTAACCTTGAGGAGAATGGGAACCCCAAAATACTTGATCATGCTTATGCAAAACTTGTACTCAGACCAGGAAGCAATCCTCAGAACAGAGCAAGGAAACACTGCATGGTTTAAAATCAGGAAGAGAGTGCATCAGGGATGCATCCTCTCTCAATATATCACTAGCCTCTATTTTTTCCTCATTGGTCGTGTGATCTTCCAGAAGTAGATAATCAGACCTTTCTTTCAAGGAGTCCACGGTGAATTTGAACTACAATCCCTTAATAGGTGAATATCATATATTTGTGTCAAACAGTGACTTCTTAGACTACTGCTTATAGAGACTCTCTGAACAATATATCTGAACCTAGCCCTATCCTTCACCATTCTCACAATCTTTGATACACTTGAGTCTATTGTTACAGTCACTGTATCAATCCATCTTGTTGAAGTTCTTCCTTTCTTCCTTTGATTCTGTAGCTTTCTTAGCCTGTGTATTTTTCCAAAGACTGTTTCACCATATTTGCCTTTAAGAAACACTTTATTCTCCTAAGAGACATTTTTATTCTTATTCTTTTTCAACACCACAATTCAAAGACCTCAATTCTTCTTCTGTTATTCTTATTCATAGTCTATAGTTCATCTATATTGACAATATCAATATGGTGTACTTATATCTGATGCACCCTAACCTTTAAATAGACATCTTTGCCTTTTTGCACTTTGGAGAGATCCTTGAAAACAGTTATTCTGAGTGCAAGAAGTCTTTCGATTTTTTGACTGCTGCTACCATGGGCATTGATTATGAGTTCAAGTAAAATGAAATTGTTGACAGCTTCAATAATAATCTATCATGATGTTTCCTTCAATCATTTCTCTTTGATGTTGTCCACTGGTGAAGATTTTCTGTTTTCTTGATGTTTAAAGGTAATCCATATGGAAGGCTGTTGTCTTTGATCTTCTTCAGTAAGTTCTTTAAGTCCTCTTCAATTTCTTCAAACAAGATTGTGTCATTTGTGTAATTTAGGTTGTTTATGAGTCTTCCTCTGATCCTGATGCCATATACTTCTTCATATAGTTCAGCTTCTGGAACTATTTGCTCTGAATGCAAAGTGAATAGATATGGAGAAACCCTGATATACAACTTTACTGGTTTTCAACTATGCAGTGTTCCCTTATCCTATTCAGATAACTGCTTCTTGGTTTAGGTATAAGTTTCACATGTGTGTTCTGGAATTTCCATTCTCAATGTAAGCCATAATTTGTTATGATCCACACAGCCAAATCTCTTTTCATAGTCAATAAAAACATAAGTAAACATATTTCTGGAATCCTCTGCTTTCAACCAAAATCCATCTGACACTAGCAATGTCACCTTGTTTTGGTAGCCTAATTCTATGGTAGTCTAATGCTGCCAACCCCAAATCAGGCAATTCAAATTCACCAGCTCCAAAAGGGAAAGATGGGAAAATTCTTCCTGCATCACTTATAGCTTCTGAAAACCCATTGGAGAGTCATCTGTAAGAAAGAGCTGTAGTTAGGTATTTAGAAGATAGAAGGAAGGAAATAGAGGTGTGAACCTTGTCACTAATTCACCTTTTATAAAAATCTAGAAATTGATGATAAACAATGTAAATATCTTTTCATATATACTATTAATTTATATTAGCAGCTCGGTGACAATTTGGGTTTTCTTTGTGGGTTACTTGGCATAAACCGTCCCCTGAACATTGGACCTTTGAGGAGGATCCATGGAGTTTGCACTGGATAATTTTCAGAAGTAGATCGGCAAGCCTTTCTTCAGTCAATCTTAGTCTGAAAACTACTAATATCAGCTCAGGACACAACCACTGGCAGCTTTCATAACAGGTGGTGGTTGCACATGAGTTGCACTGAACCTGGGTTTCTAATATGGAAGGTGAGACTTCTGTCACTGAATATCTGCTGACCCCCTACTCCTTATTGTTGTTGTTGTGTGTCATTGAGGACTGGCTGTGGAGGTCATCTCTTTGTTCCGTGGCACACCCTGACATCACCAGCCTTTGTACCTGCCAGCCTTGCTCTTGTGTATTCTGATGTACAGGGCTCACTCTCATTTCTGCTACCTTCCAGCTTTCCATGGAGATCCAGCATTCCCTTGCAGGCCATCTTCAGTCCCTGGTGAAATCTGAGAAGAACCGCCAAGTCCTGTGTGAGGGAGGAATGCTCAGTACACTCCTGGCTGCCTGCCACAAGGCCCTGGTCACAAGCAGCCACCCCCTGCACCTGAGCCTTATTAGGATATTTGAGAAGCTAGCCTCCCAGGCCATTACACCTGATGTGCTAAGGTACTGTGAGCTGTGTGCCAGCTGCTGCAGCTGAGCTCTGGGCCCTGTGCTTGCTGATACAGGTGCACACTGGGAAGAAAAGAGTTAATGGGGTGTCTGATGCCACTTCTCCAATTTTTCCTAACATTCATCAATATATGCTTGCTCAGTGTCCACTGTGTGTGTGCTAGGGTGACACTGCTTCAAAGGTGACATAACCTTCCTCTACTGGAGCTAAGTGGGTTTTTTTTGAGGGGAGGGAATGGAAATTTGTTTCTACAGCACTGCTCTGGGGAATGCTCATCAGGAGATTGAGGGCCCCAAGAGAGAGAAGCTGTACAGATTTCTGAACAGGAGATGAAGAGAAAACAAGAAAATGAGAAAGTGAGCGAGAAAGCTCCAGTGTGTAGGGTTGGGGCTCGGAGGCACGGGCTGTGGCTGTAGGGAACTGCTCAAGAACTGTGGTGGTCAGGAGCACCACCAAAACAGCAGCAAGGAGCCTGTACTAGGAACAGAGAGACAAAGCCAGTGCTCCCAAGAGCAATCTCTCCACGAAGTCACTGAGTTGAATGCTTTTGAGAGGGAAGATGCCCTGACAGTGGGGAACAGACCTGGAATATGAACAGGCAGATGTCAGAAAGACTGCAAGTAGAGAAGGAAGGGATCCTCTAAGTGCCTAGGGTCTGGTCACTCTCCTGGAGGTTTTGTTGTTGTTGTGTACTCTCAAGTCAGAATCAATTTACACCTAACACCCCAGCGGGTTTTCGGAGGCTTTAAATCCCATGGAGAGAAGACTGCTCATCTTCCTCTCTCAAAGCAGATGGTGAATTCAAACTGTATACCTTTGTGTTGCCTGTGAATTTTTTACCACTAAACCAACAGAGCTCCTCCTGGAGGCTGTAGGATGTGTTTAGGGGCTAAATCTCTAATTCCATTAGGTACTTGCCAACAATGTATGATAGTTATTTTCCAACAATTTTCTTATCTTCCTAAGTTCCACTTTGAGACTCTTTGCTGGACCCTGGTTAGATGAAAACCTTTAAACTCACCAGCTTTCTGGCCTTGGTACCAGGACAGGAATGCTGTTTCTGAATGGCTTGTGAAAAAGACCTACCAGCTAGAAGGGCAGAGGTGCAAATATATAGAGGGCCAGGATGGCAGCATGGGGACTGGGGACAGCTGGGGATAATTTTTGTCTGTTAAATGCCTTCATTTGCTTCTTTCATGCTGTGACACCAGGCAGTTTTTACGTCTTGGAATATCATCTCCTACAGTAGCTGCTACAAAGATGCTCAGTTCACCTGGTGTGCATGGAGACTGTTCTGGATGCTCAGGTGAGGGAAGATGGAAGCATGCATGCCTAGTAATGGGGTGAAGTGTAGTTCTTAGCAGGTGGATAAGCAGATGGGTTGAGAAAAGTTGGCACAATCCTCCATGAAGCAGATGAAGAAAGTAGAGGGGCTGTGGTCACTGGGTGAGGCCAGCCTGGAAAGGGGACGCTAAGCAGACCATGGTGCACATGCCATTGGTGATGTAGGGCCTACATATCAGGAACAGAATAGATGTCCCCTCCAAGCCACTGTGTGCCCAAATGCCTCTTGTGATGGCACAAAGATCATGGTGAAGACTCTCAGAAAGCGTTGGTCATAGCTCAGGATCAGGGAGTGTCTAGGGGTGAAGAATGGTGCACGGACCCATTCTGGAGAAAATAAGGTCAGGAATAGGTTTACATTAAGTCCATGTGGGATACTGAGGCAGGGAGACCCAGTGGAAAAGTTGTGTAGAGAGCTGGGCTCAAGGATGTTGTCCAGAGGTGAGTGGAGCAGGCTACTTTCTGCAAGGTTGCTATAGAATGTATAGGCATTCAGGCCGGGGCACCTGGAAATTATGGTTGTTGTCACACCCCACTATCAGTCAATAGAGAACCTGGGAAGACAGGCTGAAGGGCGCCCATGAACATGCTGAGAAAGCGCTACGACTTTTCACCACTGGCAGACACTCAGGGACCCATGTGGCCCTAACAGTTTATGACTATCTTCTAATAAAGGCTGGCAGTTCAAACCACCCAGCAACACGGCATAAGAAAGCCCTGGTGAGCTGTTTCCAGAAGCATTACAGCTGAGAAAACACAGTGAAACAATTCTATTCTGTAGCACATGGTGTCACTGTGAGCTGGAGCTGAGTTATGGCTTGTAGGTTCTGGTCATTTTAAAATGGGGAGTAAATGCACATCTATCTACTTGTCTCCTGCCTTAGGGTCAAAGGCAGCAGAGCTGGGTGCTGAAGAGGATCCCATGAACATTAGCTCTGGAATCTCGCAGGCGCTCAGGCCCTCGGAGCCACTCCTCAGCTCTACAGCTGCCCTGCAGACTGTGCTGAGCCTCATTTCCATGACATCACCTCGTAACCTGCAGCCACAGAGGGGGGCCCTGGCACCTTCATTCGTGGAATTTGACATGTCCACAGAAGGCTATGGGTACTAAAGACTTGTGTGTTTGTACATCTGAAATGCACTTTCCTAGTGTTGTAATGCCTAATCAGAATGATACATATGTTCTTTTCAGCAGCTGTGTCCCCCATTCAGAGAGGTCCAGGCTATGGAGAACTTCCATGCCTTCCTGGACAGCACACAAGTCCCTGCTGTGACCATTGGGGTGGCTGGACCCCACAAGTTCTCCCCTTATGTTTCCAGAGAGTATTTCTCCCATAGGGCTTGTCCTACCAGCACATGACTTGCCTTGACCCAGTAGCAGAACAGAGGCAGAGGCCTGTGGGACATGCAGACCAGGGAGGGTCAAGCTGCAGACCAGCTGAATCCATGGGAGAGGTTTGTTTGGTGTCATGACCTAAAGATACTTCCTGTTTTCCAGCTGCCTATTCATTCCAACCCTGTCCACAGTTGTGGGCACCAGCACAGAGTACTCCATCTCAGGAGGGATTGGGACAGGTAGGTGCTTCCTAGATACTTTGCCCCCTTGAGCTGTACTCACCACAGACCATACAATAATAAGTCCTTGAGTATCCTGGAGTGTAGATTTCCCTTTCCCATCTCAAAGAAGACAGATATTTTCTGTAGCTTAATTGTCCTATAGATGGTAAATTTGCTCAGATTCTTTGTATGGGAAAGGTGCCCTGTCCACTGAGTGTCCATTTATTCCAGCACCCTGTTCTTCAATGTGTGATGATTCAGTTGCTGAGCTGTGATTCATTGTGTCAGTGGTTGACACAAATTGGCATGGATTTGTCTACTTTGCCTTGTTTGTCTCTCCATCAAGACTGATATGAATTATGCACCGATTACCACCCAGAAACAGTCCTGATTTTGGCAAGTGGCTCATGTAGGGATTGCCTGGAGCCATGACATACTTTGTACATTGCTATGCTCAGCTGCACACCCACTGGCCAAGGACAGTGCAAACTCTCAGAGCTATCTGAGCCAGGCAACCTCTGCCAGCAGAGTGAAAAGCAGAGCTGAGAAGCTTTTATCTTTGTAGCCATGAATCTGCAGATGAAGCTGCAGGCTCTGATTGTTCTGTCAGGGCAGTAGGCCTGTCTGCACTGAAGCCCTGTCAGGGGCAGTTGAACCATTCCAGTGGCCTGTGATCTTATGCTGTGTATTGGCCAGTTATAGATGGCACCCAGGACTTGTTGCCCCTTTTCTGTTCTCTTGTTACAACAGCTTAAGGTCATAGGTAGGACAGATCAAGTGTCAGTTATGGAGGGATCAGGGTCCTGCTGAGGTGAGACTATTGCTTCTCGCTTTCTGCGAACTTCCTTCTGCTAACTGAAGTAACAAAGCTGGCCACCTACACTGTGAGGACAACGTGACATACTGCTTGAATCTGTGGAGTCCCAGAGCAGGGGCTGCTTCAGAGCAGCAGTGAGAATGAACCTGTGTCCTGCAGAGTGAAGTCTAAGAGAATGTTTGTGTTCTGATGACAGGCACTGCCAGACCCTTCCCTCCCCTGGGGGGGCTGACCTTTTCTTGCTGGTTCCTGATTAGCCGGCTTGGTGTTTCCCCGGGAAGCCATCCTCTCCGATTCCTCACGCTGGTGCGCCACCTCTCCAGAACGGAACAGCCCTTCATCTGCCTCTCCATCAGTCTCTGCCTTGATGACTTATCCTTGGTGGTGTCCACAGAGGAGAAAGAATTCCAGCCCCTGGGTAAGGCTTGGCATCCAGTGGTGATCCCATGGGCTCAGCTAGCTCTTGACACACACAGCCACAAGCTTGGGGAGTTCCACTAATCACCACTCTTTTTGGAATGTTCCCCTGAGTTCTACATTTGGTGGAACATCAAAACAAAGATTTGTTGAATGCATGTTGTCATTCAGGTGATGAAGAAAACCCACAACCAGAACTGAATAGATTGGCCAGCAGTAAAATCCTTACCTTTCCTGTGCAAGACATAACTTAAATTCCCAGCCACCTCCTATCTGTCTGTGGAGGATTCTATGTTGTTGTGATGCTGAACAGATTACAGTTGAGCTTCCAGACTAAGAGATACAAGGAAGAAAGGGCTGGCAATCTACTTCTGAGAGATTAGCTACTGGAAATCCTATGAAGCACACAGGTCTACTCTGACACACATGAGGCTGTCATGAGTCTAGGTCAGCTCAGCAGTCACTACTTTGGTAACACAAAGCAAGATCACTGTAGTTTGCATTAGAAAGGTAGGGTACTTTGGCTGAAGAGGTTAAAACTCATGGTAGCTGACATGAGCTATCCTTCCTGAGGTTCTCCTGAGTTTCTGTGACATCTACTTCATGTGATGGCCAGCATCTGTGCTCTCTTTCAGATGCCATGGAACCTGAGGATATTGCTGAGCCTTCTGCAGGACGTCAGCTCCAGGTCAGGTGTGGACAGTTACTGGCTTGTGGTCAGTGGCATCACTTGGCTGTGGTGGTCACCAAGGAGATGAAAAAGAATTGTACTGTTTCTACCTATCTGGATGGACAGATCATTGGCTCAGCCAAGGTGAGTGTTTTCATGAGCTGAGCATCTGCACTCTGCTGAATCTCTGTGAGCTATCACTCAAAGCTTCAGTTGTTGTTAGATGCCATCAAGTCAACTGTGACTCATAGCACCTCTATGAACAACAGACCCAAACCTTGACCTAATCCTCCTCTATCCTCAATATCTCCACCATGTTAGCCACTGTATTAGTCCACATCACTAAGGATCTTTCTTTCTTTCACTGACCCTCTACTTTCCTAAGCATGGTATCTTTTCCCCAGGATGAGTTGTTAGATAATGTGCCCACCTTACTGGCTGAACTTGAGCCTAAAAAGGACATTATTACAAAATGAATAAAGATCACGAAACTAGAACAGAAGACAAAACAGGGGATAGTCCTGAACAGATAGTTATTAAAAAACAAAACAAAACAAAACAAAACAAAACAAAATAACAGACAAACCTAGTTTCTGTGGGATTATCCTTAATTAATGGTGACCTCATAAGTATCAGAATAGAGCTGTATTCTGTAGAATTTTCAGTGTCTGGATTTTGGAAGCAAATACCATGGCTTTCTTCTGAAACACTTCTGTATACACTCAAACGTCCAACCTTTCAGCAGTCAAATGTGGTAAATGGTTGTACCTTCCAAGGACCTCACACATAATAGTTGTAAAAATATTTCCATCTCAGTGGCATTCTTTTTTTTCTATAATTATATTTTATTAATTTTCATAAACATTTACAGAGATTTTGGGTTTCCATTCATTCGTTGTTGCACTATTTTCTCTACCCTCCTCCCAGTTTATTCTTGTCCAAATGCCACAGTGCTTGTCAAAGCCAGTTCTGATTAATCTTCTTTGTCAGTGTGTCCTTTGCCATTCCCTATCACTCCTCCCTGAGAGAGATTTCACCCTGAGTCATAAGGAAAAGGGGATGGCGTATTCTCTTAGCTACTTCCTGCTGAAAAGGGACGCTGTGGGTTTCAGGGTGAAGATCTTCTCTCACTACTCTAAAGGGCCCCTTTGGCAGTCGGAAACACATAGACTATTATGGAGATTGATTTTGGAATTTAGATGCACTCTTATTGATTGTGCTTGGCCGTACATGTTCATATCCTTGAAGATGTATCATGGGGGTGTTGCAACCTAGAAGACACAAATTTGACTAACAAGTTATAAGTACATGAGTCAAAAATTATGGAAAAGTAAAAGAAAAGATTCTTTCATTGTTTTACAAATCCTCCCCCAGGTCCCCTCCACCATGTAGCCCTCGCTCTAGTCTCCTGTGATGACAGAAATACCTAGTTATATATCTCTTTTAAACAGTTTTCTCCCTCCTCTGTTTCAGTGCAGTATACATTATTGAACCCATCTTACTCAGTCTCTCCCCAACCCCAAGGACAGTCCCATTCTACAACAGTGGCATCATGTAATATTTGTCCTTTTGTGACTGGGATATTTCACTCAGCATAATGTTCTCCAGAGTCAACCATTTTGAATAATATTGCATGAGTTCCTTGTTTTTTAATGCAGCATAGTATTCCATTGTGCAAATATACCACAGCTTCTCTAGCCATTCGTTTGTTGATGGGCACTTAGGTTGTTTCCAACTCCTTGCTATTGTGAACAAAGCTGCAATAAACATGGGTGTGCATATATCTGCTTGGATGTCAGCTATGGTCTCTTCAGGGTATATTCCCAGTAGTGGAATTGCTGGGTCAAATGGTATCTCTATTTGCAACTTTTTGAGAAAGCGCCATACTGCTTTCCACAGGGGTTGCACCATTTTACACTCCCACCAACAGTGAATCAGGGTTCCAGTTTCTCCACAACCTCGCCAGCATTTGTTGCTTGCTGTTCTGTTAAATTTTGCTATTTTGACTGGGGTGAAATGATATCTCATAGTTGTTTTAATTTGCATCTCTCTTAGGGCTAGGGAATTTGAGCATTTCTTCATGTGCTTGTTAGCCATCTGAATGTCGTCTTCGGTGAAGTGCCTGTTCATATCCTGTGCCCATTTTTCTATTGGATTATTTACCTTTATCTTGTTGTGGTGCTCAAGTATTTCATAAATTCTGGATATAAGTCCCTTATCTGATATGTTATTACCGAATACTTTTTCCCAGTCAGTGGCTTCCCTTTTTACCCCACTGGAGAAGTTTTTGGATGTGCATAGGGATTTGAGTCTTAGAAGATCCCATTCATCTATGTTATCTTCTCCTGGTTGTAGCTTTTCCAGGATACTGGGAAGACTGTTTATGTTGTAGATTAGGACTTCTAGTGTTGTTCCTAGCTTTTCTGTAATGAAGTTTATAGTCCTTGGTTTTAGTCCTAGGTCCATGATCCACCTTGAGTTGTTTTTTGTGGCATTCTTGACTGCACTCTAAGATGTAGTATGTTAAGTAGAAAAAAAAAATAATAAAGATTGTCCACATTCCTTCCACCTTACCATAGATTGTAGTTTCTGTCAACTTTTATCTTTTCTTAAGCCAATGATTTTTTCTTTCCTTTTCCTTTCCTTTCCTTTTTTCTTTTCTCTTTTCTTTTCCTTTCTTTTCTTTTCTTTAATTTCATTTTATTTTATTTCATTTATTATTTTGTGTGTGTATACCATCTAATCAGATCTGACTGGTACAGGAAGAGATTGCCCCTCCTTCTCCAGCAGAGAATCTGGTGGATTTGAATCACGTACCTCTGGGATTGCAGTGCAACTTCTTGTCACTAGGCTACCAGAGCTCCCTCCAATTAAACTTCTTTAGGAAATAATATTCCCCCAGAATGCAGCTGGTTGGGTCATAAATTATCTTCTAAATGTTTTGTCATCAAATGTTTATGCTACATTTTTAAATATTAGCAAATTATTTAAATAGTTGCATCATGGTGAAAACACCATGTTTTCACGGGGATATTGAAGCATGTAGGAGATTACATCATGTAGCTATTTTTTCATTTTCAATTTTTATCCTGTTTTAAAAATAATTATGGAGGGAGCTCTGGTGGCCTAGTGGTAAGAAGCTGTGTTAAAATTCTGAAGGTTCACATTTCAAATCCACCAGATGCTCCGCTGGAGAAGGAGGTGCAATCTCCTTCTGTGTCAGTTGGATCTGACTCAATGGTACACAACAAGAAAAAAGTGGAGAAAAAAAAATTAATTATGGCCTGACTATAAGACAAGTTTTATGTCCCTCTTAGATCATGTGTTGTTAGTTGTTGTCAGGCTGACTGCAGCTTATTATTGCCTCATGAACAGTGTTACTGAGCCCTGAATCACCATCATAGCCTTTGCTGTGTGAGTCCATTGCTATGGCTATTGTGCACATCCATCTCATATAAAGTTTCTCTCTTTTTTTGCCTTTTAAATTAGCAATCACAATCTTTTTGTAGTGACTGACCTTTTCTTTTTTTAAAATTTTTTTATTTTTTATTTTTATTGTATTATTTTTACGTGTACCGTCAAATCAGATCTGACTGGTACAGGAGGAGATTGTCTCCTCCTTCTCCAGCAGAGGATCTGGTGGATTTGAACCGCTTACTTCTGGGATTGCAGTACAGCGTCTTGCCATTAGGCCACCAGAGCTCCCTGTGACTGACCTTTTCTAATGACAAATCCAACATAAGCAAACCAGAGTCATACCATCCTTGCTTCTTCTGTCAGCCCATGATATATTTAATATTCTTTGCCAACACAACAATTCAGATTTAGCAATTACTCTTCTTCCTTCTTCATTGTCCTTCTTTTGCATATCAAGAGATTGAATAGACTATAGTTTACATTGCTGTTGTTACGTGCCGTTGAGCCACCTGCAACTCATAGTGACCCTATGCATAATAGCTTTGAACCCTGCCCTATCCTGAGCCAATCTCACTGACTTTGATACATTTAATCTCATCACCCTAGTTAACATGTCAATTAATCTCATCTTGGGTATTCCTCTCCTGCATTGTCCCTCTACCTTTCCAAGCATGATGTCCTTCTCAAGGGACTGGTCCCTCCTGGCCACATGCTCAAAGTATGTGAGATGGAGCTTTAAAATCTTTGCCTCCAAGGAGCAGCGTGGTTTCACCCTCTCTAGGATAAACATGTTTGTTCTCTTAGCACTCCACAGTATGATCAATCCTCTTCTTCAGCACCACAACTCAAAAGCATTAATTCTTCTATCCTCTTTGGTCATTGTCCAGCTCTCTGATACATAGCAAGCAATTGTGAAAACCATGGCCTGAATCAGGTATACCTTAGTCTCCAGACTGAGATTGTTGCTCATCAGCATTTTTGAGAGGTCCCTGATAGCAGCCTCCCCTAGGGCTACTTATCTGTTAGTTTCTTGAGTTCTTCTGGTGCCAAGAGTGTTGATAGTGCAAGCCGAAATTATCAACACCCTCAATCTCTTCGCTATCTATCATGGTGTTGCAAATTGGCCCAATGGTGAGAATCTTTGTCCACTGCTGAGCTTCAGTCCAAATTGAAGATTGCAGTCCTTGATCTTCTTCGGCAAATGCTTCTGGTCCTCCTCAGTTTCTGCAAGCAAAGCTGGGGCATCCCCAGAATGTATTGATGTTATTGATGAGTTTCCTCCAATATTCCTCATAAGGTCCAGCCTCCTGATATGAAAGGTATGGAGACAGAATGCATCCCTGAGACACTCCTTTTCTGATTTTGAACTATGCAAAAAATCAGGAAAAACCATGTTTCCTACCCCTATTCTGAGGACTGGTTCCGAATGCAAGTACAGGTTTCACCTGAGCACACTCAAGTATTCTAGGATTCCCTTTCTTCTCAAGGTTAGCCACAATTTGTTGTGATCCACAGTCACATGTCTTTGCATAGTCAATGAAGCATGGATAGACATTGCTCTGGTACTCCTTGCTTTCAGCCAAGATCCAGCAAATGTTGGCGATAATGTCTCTGGTGCCACGGTCTTTTTAAACCCGGACTGCATTTCTGTTAGTTCTCTGTCAATTTACTGTTCTAGTCATACCTTAATTACCAAAGTGACATTTTTTACATTTTTTCCCACTTTC